TATCCAGAGACCAATAGGTAGCCAGTGCAGCTCGCGGAGCATAGGTGTAACGTGGGTGTACCGGGGTGCACCCACAATCGCTCGCGCGGCTGCATTCTGGACCAGCTGGAGTCTCCAAACACTCTTCAAGGGCTGCCCCATGTAGAGCGCATTGCAAGATGGATATAAATTTAATAATCAATAGTAATAGTAATAGCAATAGCACTTAGACTTATATACCGTTTCATAGTGCTTTTACAGCCCCCTCTAAGTGGTTGACAGAGTCAGTATATTGCCCCCAACAATCTCGGTCCGCATTTTACCCATCTCGGAAGGATGGAAGGATGAGTTATCCTTGAGCTGGTGAGATTCAATCTGCCAAATTGCTGGCAGCCGGTGATCAGCAGAAGTAGCCTGCAGTACTGCACTCTAACCACTGCGCCACCGTGGCTTTTACACCTTCTCTTTTATGAGAATATGAGCTAGTATGGGGCAGCGGTGAAGGAGCTCAACTTGGGGATGGAAGACTCAGGTTATAGTTCCCCCTACACAAAAAAAAAAATTCCACTGGGCAAGGAACTAAATAAATATACTAAATAAATAATCAACCAAAGAAATGCAGCCATAATGTAAAACAGTGGCATGAAAAACAAAATCCAGATTGCTCCAATTAAAACTATCCATACAAAGGATTAAGATAAATGTCCCAAAATAAAAGAAAAAAAAAGCAAAGTCAAGGTTTCCTTCTACAGCCAGCTTTCACGAACTGCAAAAATGATTATATAGCTATAATTTCTTAAGCCCTTAAGGATTCTTCGTTTATCTTTATTTTAAAAAGCAGCTTCTCAGCATCTGAGTACAGTTATCTACCCGGAACAGAGGAAACGATTGGAGTAATCTCTTCTCTGTTCAAGATGCAGGAGACAGACAATGTAAAATCCATTAATTCTCTTTTTTTTTTTTTTTTTACTTTCCAGTCTCCGGTGCTAAAAGTAGAAGGTCTGTCTCCCGGCAACCTGCCCTTCTCACGTCTCAACATCAATCCTATCCATGTGGCGTCAATAAGGATTCTACCCTTGGCAGGCCAAGAGAGTAAGTCCCTGGCAGCAGTTTGCAAACTTCCTTTGCCATTTTGATCCACCTAAAATCAGGGGATTCAAACTCGATTTCACTGAGGGCCACATCAGGGTTGGGTTTGACCTCCAGCGGGGCAGGGGGCATGGCCAGCTCGACGTCATTCATGTCGGGGGAGCCTGTGGTGGCCTGAGTGGTCTGTCAGCAACAACGGGCTCCCAAGCTCCATTTTGGCCTGTGATAGCCTCTTGCAACCCTTTGCAGGGCTGTCTTAATTAATGGGCCTGATGGGCACTTGCCCATGGGCCCCAGGAGCATAGGGACCCCATACTAATCTGTGTATGTTAACCAGTGGTGGGTTTCAAATTTTTTTAGAACCTCTTCTATAGGTGTGGCCTGCTTTGTGGGAGTGGCTTGCCGGCCATTGACCAGGTGGGAGTGGCTTGCAGCCATATGACTGGGTGGGNGTTTTTAAGAAGAGATTGGACAACCATTTGTCTGGAGTGGTGCAGGGTTTCCTGCCTAGGCAGGGGTTGGACTAGAAGACCTCCAAGGTCCCTTCCAACTCTGTTATTCTATTCCATTACATTACATTCCATTCTATTCTATTTTTATTATTGTAGAATTAATATCAATGAAATGAATATTGTTGTAAACATTATGATTATCATCTTTCAAACTATTTATACCCAGAAAAACTAATATCTTTCTTAGCATTATCGATTTTGGGCTCAACTGTGGTCGTAAGCCGAGGACTACCTGTATAGGAACAAAAGGGTCTAAAACAATTTGCTTTTCTTTGGTAAACTCGGGAGGAGCCACTTAAAAGGAGAAATGTGTATTTCATTTTTTGCAGAAGTTGTTAAGAGGAACACTAGAGCCTCTCAGAGAGCTTATGATAACGTCTATGAAGAATTAGCATCCTTGTCTCAGGGCTACTACTTGAACGTAAAGAAAAACCAACTCTCTAAGGCCCTTGGCGTACTGGAGCTGTCCATGAATGCCGCTCCTGTTAAAATAGCCCATAATCGTGTGGATGGAAGTCAGTTCTCCTTCCCCGTGGATGAAACTCTCTCCGAAATATCAATCTCAGTCAAGACTTTGAGGCGTGAGAGATTCAACTTTAACATCTGGCAACCTTCAGGTAATTGAACTGAGTGCAAATGGAGGGAAACAGACCAAGGAGAGATTCAACCTAGAAATAAGGAGAAATTTTCTGACAGTGAGAACTGTTGGCAGAAATATCCTTCTGGGTTCGGTTCCAAGTGTAAAAGACACTGGAAACATGGAGGCTGCTTGGAAAGATGATTTAATGGTGGACAGGATCACATGGATTGAGTTCCTGAACAGAAAAGGGGGGCCACATGCTTCCAGATGTTGGGTGAAGAAGAAAAAGAGGCAGAGATCCTGAACGTCCCTGGTTTTATGCCCTCTCTGGGCTTTGATCTTGAGCTTGTATTCTGATTGGTTGTCAGACTCCCATCGGGCCATGCAACTCTTTAAGCTGTGATTTGAATCCAAGTTTGGTTGAGCATTGCTTCTTCCCAGGTGCCCTGTGTTGAGATAGGTAAAAGGCTAATACTATCATGCCTTTATCCCATCACCCTGCAGCTGAAGGGGGATCTTTGTTATGTAGAATAGACTGGCCCAGACTTTTTAATGACCTATTGACACAGGTGGGGGCTATTAAGAGTGAGTCTGCTTCCTGCCTAAAAACATGTTTCTCCATTTCTGATTCAGGCAAACATAATATTTCAATATTTCCCAGGATATTTCCTTTTTCTAGGAAAGGGGTGGGTGCTAACTTCCTACAGAACAATCAACCAGTGGAACAGCTTTGCCTTCGGAGGTTGTGGGAGCTTCATCCCCGGAAGCTTTCAAGAAGAGACTGGACTGACATCTGTCAGAAATGGTGTAGGGCAGGGGTGTCAAACTCAAGGCCGAGGGGAGGATGCGATCCATGGGTTACTTAGATCTGGCCCTAAAAACTTTGAAGGACTGGCCCAGGGTGCCTCTGCTAGTGAAAACGGAGTTTGGGAGGCCACCCGCAGCCATCCCGAGCTCCATTTTCTCTGGCAGTGGGTTGCAGGAGGCTGAAGCATCCAAAAATGGAGCTCAGGAGTCCATTTTTGCTGGCACAGCACTTGGGTCACCACAGGTGCCCCCCGACACATCAAGCTGCCCATGCCCCCCCACACCTCCTCCCCTGAGGTCAAATACAATCCTGATGCGGCCCTCAATGAAATTGAGTTTGACACCCCTAGTGAAGTGACTCCTGTTTGACAGGGGGTTGGGCTAGATGACCTACAAGGTCCCTTCCAACTCTGTTAATCTGTTATTGAGTATGCAAAACTATGCAAGCAAACGCTTTCCCTTGTCTGACACGGGATGCATGTAAAAAAATGGGGGGGAGGACTTCAATTGCACAATCGTGGATGTCTGGAATTGGAGGAAGCCATAATGCCGGGCATTTTAGCCTCTGCAGGCCGTCTTCAACTTAAAGTAGTTCATTTAGTGACCATTCAAAGTTACAAGTCACTGAAAAAAGTGACGTACAACCTTTTTCACATGTATGACCATCACAGCATCCCCATGGTCACACAACCAAAATTTGGACCCTTAGCAAATGACTCGTATTGATGACGGTCGCAGTGTCCAGGGGGGGGGGTCATGCGATCCCCTTTTGTGACCTCCTGGCAAGCAAAATCAATGGGGAAACCAGTTTCACTTAACAACCATGTGACTAATTGACCAACTGCAGGGATTCGCTTAACAGCTGCGTCAAGAAAAGTGGTAAAATGGGGCAACTCCAGAGAGGCCTCACTTAGCAACAGAAAATGTGGGCTCAATTGTGGTCGTACGCTGAGGACCACCTGCGATGCAATTCACTCCTTTTTGTGATGTTCCACGATAGGTGACCCATTAGGAAAACCTCGTCTGATGATTGACACAAGCAATCAAAAAGTCGTAAAGGTATCTCCTCTCCCTCAGCAAGGTCGGTGGACTGTGTCCGTGACCCCAAGGAGCTCTTATGAGGTGGAGATTAGAGGCAAGAGTTTGCTTGACTTTACGTACCAGATAATGCAGAAGCAGAATAACTACATGCTCCCAATTCAAGGACAGCCTATGAAAGGTATGTCTTCCTTACCTATTGCAACTCTGGGGTCAAATCCTCCATTACCAACATCCATGCTGGGGGGAAAAGTCAGGCAAAAATTTTAGGTGCTAAGAGAAATCCATTTCAAAAGAAAAAGGCTATAGAGCTGTGATGGCATGCGGAGCCATTTCTTATATATATGTGTGTTATATTTGTGCTGATAAATAAATAAAGGGAGACTAGTATAGATCTATTTCAAGCTATTTAGCTCTCATCAGCTAGCCATACCCTTACTGGGAATCGAGTCTGTGGCTAAATAGCTTGAAATAGATCTATACTAGTCTCCCTTTATTTATTTATTAGCACAAATATAACAAATGTAACAAAAAGGCAACAGTAAAAAATATCGTGACCCGTCAAAAGCGCGGACGGCAAAAGCGCGA